TAAGTTATATCTCCTATTTTCCTAAAGTATCACATTTATTATTTCAGACACTTAATAAGCCCTGTCAGTTCGGTATGTTCCACTGAACTTGCAGCCAAACCTAGATGGTTTGATAAATTGTTTCTTTCTTTAAACCTTGTGATGACTAAATCTTTATTTGATGCTTTTTCTCTATCTCTTTTTTCTTTTTTAAGCAATTGCTAGTGGAAAAAATGCAATGCCACTGATCCCCTTGAAGAGCTAAAAAGCCATTTGGCTATGCTGAGGTTTCAACAAATCATCTTTAGATTGCTGACACTGTTTTCATGGAAACCAAATAAATTGGTGCTTCCTGGGTTTAAAAGATGTGTTCATCTAGTGTGTATTTCATGTAGGTTTTTTTTTTCTTCCATCCCCAGAAATATTTTTGTGGTTACTTTGCATTAGGCAGTAACCAGAGAGTGATCTCTGTGCTGTGTTTTGCTTAGAAAAGATGCTTGTGCTGGTTTACTGCAGGTGACCACACCAGCAGGTGTTGGCCTACAGCTAAATATCACCTCTGCTTTGGAAAAAGCATGAATTTGTAAAATGTCTTAGTAAAAAGAATGAATTCTAGAACTGGAGATATATATATATATATAATGCAGAGTTGTGGGGAAGCTGTTGTGTCAGTCACCTTGATGGGGGTAAGATTTCAGTTTTGTTGTACATTGATGGTGAAGGGGCTTGGCTCCCTCAGGGAGGATCCCAGGAGACACAGGCTGGTTTGACTCAAACCTTGCTGAAAATGGAATAGTTGACAGTTATGAATAAAGTTACTTAACAGTCAACTTCCTGTGGTTTGCATGCATTTCTGAATCAGGAGGAGGCTGCAGGGCCACAGCTGAGATGTGTATATTCCATCTGAACAAAACAGGGCATCTTTCTCAAGCTTCAAAAGGGACTGCTTGAAAATCCAATACTCTGATACAATTTCATAAAGTTTAAAACTGTAACTCCAGAAGGCCTTTGGAGCTGATGTGTGGGTTGTTCATTCTGCTCTATTGGGGTGTGATCAAGAAATTTGCTTATTGCAGTACCTCAGTATTCATTTGAGATGAATTTCAGATTCATTGAGATGCCCAACCTGTGCTGGATTTTGTCCTTGTGTTGGCATCTTTGGGCTGTACTTGAGGTGCAGGGAATGAGTTGGGCTCCAAGGCATGGCTGGTTCCTGCAGGGTCACTGCAGCTTTCAGAGATTTGCATTTCCAAACTGCTCAGCTGTACAAATGACTTCAGAGGGTTCATCTGCGTTTGAAAAAGAAAATTCACATGGGGGTGATGTGAGGCTGTCACACAGAGCCATGGGATGCTGCCACTGTCCCAGCTTGCTCCAATGTCCAGCCTGGCCCTGAGCATTCCCAGGGGTGCAGCATCCACAGCTCTGGGCAACTTGTGCCAGTGCCACAGAATCCTCAGAGGAAAGAATTTCTTCCTGATAACCAATCTAAACCTTCTTTCTGTCACTGTGAACCCATTCCCCCATGTCCTCTCACTCCAGGCCCTTGTAAATAGTTTTTCCATCTTTCCTTTGGGTACTGAAGGCCACAGTCAGGTGACCCCAAAGTCTTCCCTTTTCCAGGCTGCACATTCCCAATTCTGTCAGCCTTTCCTCGTAGGAGAGGTTCTCCATCTCTGTAATCAACTTGGTGGCCTCCTCTGGCCTCCTTCCAACGGGTCAAGGTCCTTCCTGTCCTGAGGACATCTCTGTATTTTTAGCTAATCTTTAAATTTCCGTCCTATGTACTCACAGAACGTGGGTGTGAAGACATCAGGAGTGTAATGGAGAACTGTGGGGGTTTTCATGGGGGCAGATCATTCAGTTTTCTCATTTCTGGCTCGATTTTGCCCTTGGTGTGGCTCCTTTGTGGTGTGACACCACAGCCTGATTGCTGAGCAGCCTCGTGGCAGGGCTGGACATGGTGAGCCACACAGGCATTAGTGGCACACAGTGGGGAAACCCAGTTTCTTTTTTCTAGTCATCTTGGGTAAACCAGAGAGTTTGCAGTTTGTCAGAAAGGAAATTTTAGGTGACAGCTGTTGAACACAGCTATTTAAATCTGGTCACTGTCATGGATTTACTGAGTGGATCTGGTTCTCTGTCTACCAGGAAAAAGCAGCCTGACACAGAAGCTGCCTTTGGGGCTGCTGTTGTGCAGGGATGTGAATGGGTCCTTTTCGAACTGATTTTTAAAAATAGGTGGCATTAAAGCTTTCCTCAGTTGTTGTGTGCTGAGTTTTTCAATGTGTTTCTCTTCATTATTGGATAAAATAAAAAACTTCACATTTTGGGAAGGGATTAAAGCTTGGCTGCTTTGTAATGCTGCCTCTTTGAAGCTTGTTTAAATGGGTCAGAACTCTCTGGTTCTCCAGTGGTGCGTTCTGATAAAGATCTGGTCAGTGAGGTGGTTGGCTCTTCAGGAGTGTCTGCAGTTAGCAGAGCTCAGCCTGCTGATAGCAACATGTCCAGGGCAGACAGAAAATTACCACTGGTCAGGGCCCTGGCTTGTGGCTGGAGTGGGATGGGAGAGGAGATGATGAGTTTGAAGCTGTTCTAGGTGTTTAATTGGTATGCAGGTAAAAAACAGTGAATGAGCAATTCTATCCCTGGTTACAGGGCTGAGTCATGTGCACAGCCCTTGCTGTCTGAACAGATTTTTATGAGGGGAGAGCCCAAGCCCTGAGCCCACGGTGTGGAGGAGGGAAGCTGGAATGTCTCAGCTTAATGAGCTGATGGATTTAATAGTTCAGTCTCTTCAGCTTCAGCCTGGCCACCTCCATGTCTGTGTGCTGCTGACTGTGACAGGTGACAGCCCAGAGGTGGAGCTGCCATCTCAGTGCTCCCTGAGGGACTCTGTGTTGGACGGGTGGCTCTGGAGCGTTGCTGTCGCTGCAGGCCCGTGCATTTTGCATTTGTGATTTCAGGAAATCCCCTCTTTTGGAAAGCTGCCTGTGGGGATGTTTTGTGACCTTTCCAGGCTGTGGTTTGCTTGTCTGCTCCAAGTGCTCTGTGCATTGCAGTAGCTGCAAGTCCTGGGACTTAAAGGAGAGGGAGAGGTTGGAACTTCCACATTAACTGCAGAGTTAATGCTCCTTTAGGGAGTAGGTATTGCTGTAAGTTGTATAAAAAGCTGTCTGAGATTAAAATGCATGTTTGTATGCACACACACACAAGTTCAGCCTCTGAGGCCCAGGTATTGCAGAGTAAATACCTGCACTTAGTGAGTCTGCAATCTGCCTGATTGGTCTGTAGCCAGCCCTGTGGGGAAGGGAAGCTTGCCAGCTCCTATTGGCACCTAAAAAAGAAATTAAACCTGACCTTAAATTTTATTTTGCCTTAGTATTCAGCTACAGACAGTGGCTTTAGCACTTGGAAGGCCTGAATTTTGATCCTGTTTCTCCTTTTTGGGAAGCTTGATGGATTCATGCAGCAGGGTTGTTTATTTTCTGTGAAATAGGAATGCTCTTCCCTGTGTACCTTCCTTAGAGGATTGAGGCTAGAACAGATGATGGAAAAGACACAATACTGCTGTCATTGCAAGCAGCTGCTGCTGAAATGGTGCTTTTGTCACCCCAGAGAAAATCAGGACAGCTGAGGCAAACAGGAGGTAAAACAAGGCCCAGAGGTGTGTGGGGCTCTCTCCTGCAGGTGTGTTGAGCACGAGGCATGTTCCAACCAGAGCCCCAGTTCTGCCTCATTAAACATTGATGTTCAAATTGCACACTTAAAGGTGTGGCATCCACTTGGATTATGTAACTTATTTTAGTGCCTGGAAACCTTGCAGAGGTGCCTTGCTGATGTGTCTGCCAGAACCATTTTGGGCCTTTATTTACCCTGCTCTGCCCAGGGCAGATGCTGAGATGGCACAGCTGAATAGTGAGGTTTGTATTCTCCCTAGATAGGCTTGCAGAGCTCAGGTTGAAGTGAGGGGAGGTCATTATCAGGGTGTAGCTCCTGTCCTGATTCACTTGTCTGCATTAGGTGTAGTCACCCCAGCCTCAGATGCTGTTTGATTTTCTCATGCAGAGAGCTCAGTCAGAATTCCTGCTCTTCCACCTGCACAGTGAAAACACAGGTGGCTTCTTTTCTGCACTTACTGTAAAATGAGTAAGTTACAGCTGGTAATGAAGAGTTTCCAAAAGGAAGCCGATTTGTGCTTCTGTGAGGAAGCTGAGAACCTTAAAAAGGTGTTTTCCTCTGCACTGAATTCCATCAGTACATTCCTATTGCAGGGAACTCAGGTGCAGCAGTACCCAGGGCACAATTCCTCCTTAATCCCAGCACCCTGATGGAGCTCTGCAGGCTTGACTGTGGCTCAGGTTTACCATGAAAAAACCTTTAGTTCTGCATTACTGGAGGGATTAAAAACTGCAGTTACCTTTGCCAGGACAGGGATGAGTTGAACCCAGGAGGTAAACCTGGATTATAAATGTGATATCATGCACAGCAGCTCTGCTCATCACTCAGAGTAAAATATTCTGGTCCAGCTTGGTGTCTGAGGGGAAACTGGAGTAAAATGCTTTGTGTGCTGTGGTTTCTCATGCTGTGTTCTGCTCATCCCTGTGGGCATGAGTCCTGTAAAGTAAAAATGAACTTTCTCTGGTGATTAATCCCTGCACCTGAATGCCTGTGTGTGCACTCTGCTAAGCCTCAGAGGAATTGAATGTTTCTTTTCATAGTGAAGGTGTGGCTGCTTCATTGATGCTCCCTGTGGATAACATTGGATTTATTTCTCAAGCCTAAACTTGGAAAGAATGTGACTATTATAAATGTGCCTTTTATGCTTTTAAGCTGAAATATTAACTGGCCTAAGAATAAATCATCAGTTGTGTTCTTAGGATAGCTGCTTTTAAAAAGGGCAGTGGTTAAAGCTTACAATGCTTAAATGTAGGTTTCTGATAAATTATCTGGACTTCAGAATGTAAACTCTTGGGATCAAGGATGTCGCTTATTTAAATAACTGTTTGATTTGTTTTTAGGGGGAATCTGTAAAGTATTTCTTGGACAACTTGGATAAACTTGGAGAACAAGTAAGTCCTTTTTTATTTTTCTTTCCAGTCTTGAGTTTGAAGTAGTCTTTATGATCTCTGGGTTTTAAATAGATGAAATGTAATTAGTGCCTACTCCAGTGACTTTATCTGTGGTTAACTCGGGCTGTCGCATTATCTCAGCAGTTCATCACTGACATGTCAGAAACACAGGGCAATGCAAGGGCCAGGAGACTTTCTGGAAATAAACCATCTGTCAAAATCAAACAAAAAACAAGTTACAAGTTCTTGGCCAGGCAGGAGATTGTTAAAGTAGCTTTTCAAGACTAAATGACATCTGAAAACAACTGGGTTTGGGGTTATGTGCCCAGTTAGGAACTCTTGAGTTAAATCAGTCACAGGTCAGTGGTACCTTCCAGAAATACCTACTTTAACATAAACTCAGTAAAGAATAAAGTCTGTTTTCTCTGGAGAAAAACCTGAAATTTTTGTAGAATACTTTTTTATATAACTGTTAATTAGCACTTGGATAATGAAGGTATCTGCAGTCTAGAACTGATGAGCATGTGGAAAAACTGCCTTTAAAGCAGGAGTTTTAATGTGGTGCTTGAACTCTCTGGGGAGGCAGTTTCTCCATGGTCATTCCCAGCTGATGGTAACAAATGAAGGAATCCAAACCACTTCAGTGAAACTGTTACATCATGCTTCATTTCATTTTTGTTTTTAACAGATTAAATTTTAAGCCAGACTATTTTTCTGCTTTGAACTGTCATTGTTCTAACTAAAGCTCTGGTGGTCATGGTGCTTCCCAGATCTCTGCCTTGAGAACTCCAGCACCTGGTCTCTGAATTTGGATTTGGTCTCAAGATAATGAAACTTGCACTTAGGAGGGAACTCATTGCTGTAATGAGCTGCTGAGCTCTCTGCCATGGGGGATTTCTCATGGTCTTTGAATCCAGTGCCTTTCAGTTTCAAAGGACTTGGAATTTTCCCCAGCAATATTGGATAGAGTTCTGCAGCTCCATTTCCAAGTTCTTAATGGAGAAACTTTGGTCCATTCTTTGATTAATGTGTGAAACTTGGTCAGCAGTTGAGTTTTTAAATATTTTTATACATAAACACACAGCAGGTCTGATGTTTCTGTGGCAGTGCTGTGAATTACAGCTTTTCTGGCTTCAGGTTGGTGTTGAGAATCAGAGAGACTCATCAGGATCTGCTGTTGTAAAAAATGTTAAATCAATGAGGGAAAAAGGACTAGCTAAGTTTTGTTAGCGGAAGATTTGATAGGTTCTTCTGGTTTATTCTTATCTATATGCAAGATTATCTAATGATTGTTTCCCCAAATTGTAAATAAAAGTATTTGTTCTAATCTGATGCAACTGGGCTGACTTGCAACTAAATTGCTTCTAAACACATAGATCTGCAATTCACGTGCCCCTTGCCAAAAGGGAGCTGATAAGAGCACAGAGGGAAAAGAACTTAATGTTCAGATTTAATCAGATCAGCAGAGTAAGAGTATCTGACAGGCAGACATGCGTGGGATCTCCTGGATTCCTTGTGTGTTGCTGTTTCAACTGCCAGTGCAGACTCTGTGCATCCAAAATACCTCACAGAGAGACTTGGCTTTCCATCCTGTGATTGGATCTTAGTCATGCCTTAAATTGTGATTTGAGCTAGGCAAACAGTGATGTGATAGCCAAAAGTGCTGCTGATAACCAAAGGAACTCCTTCAGGAGAAGCAGACTGCAATGAGTTTGAGGAATAGAGATAGGAAAATCAGGGAGAAAGCACGTGTTCCAAATCAGTACCAGTGTGAGGATGCTTGAGGGGAAGAAAACACTTATTGGCAATGGCAAAACACTGAAAGAACTTGGAAAATAACACTCAGTGCCATTCAAGGAAAATGCTCACCTGGTACTGCATGCTCTCACATGTGGAGAATGGGATCAGCACCAAGACAGGGGCAAGCTGCTTGTGTTCCAAGGGCTGGGCATGAGGGAGAAAACATAATTGTCCTTCAGAAAGAGAATTCAAGTACTGGGAGAGTTGTGAGAGTTGTTGTGTTTGGTCTGCTGTAGCCAGAGGGTGGCTGGATACCAGCACTGAACTCACAGAGCCCTCGTGTGCTGCCTGCTGGATCAGAGTAACCAATACCCAGGATAAAACATGGAGTTCTAACATGCTTTGGGTTGGAGGGGACCCTAAAGATGCCCAGTTCCATGGCAGAATGTACAAATAGAAAGCACTGGAAAGGATTCTCTCAAGTGTGGAAGGAATTTTCAGTGAGTAATAGTACTGGAGAGGGAATTTGTCAGGAATTCTGGGGATAAGCTTGTTCTGGAAAGCTTTACTGAATAAACATTACAGGCCAACTCCCAGGAGAGTTTGCTTTGTGCCCTTGTTTCAATATTGAAGGTGCATGTGGTTTTGCCTATTATATTAGTTGGTTTTCTTTATTTACATAATTTAATAATTTCAGTCACTCCTGAGCTTTTCTAAGACTTGTTGCTTTTGTTCTGAGAAGCTGAGACAAACTTCCTGAAAAACAAAATATCCATTCCCATTTGGAAGCTGGAATGAGTGCTGAACCTGTGACATTCCTGCCTGCACATTGACATCAGCTTTGCTTTAGGTCCCTTCACCTGTGCCCAGTGACATTTCATACACTCCCTGCACTGCTTTGAGGATTGTTCTCTTCTCTCTAATTTCAGTAGAAAAGACCCAAGATTTAACAAAGGGAAAAGTCTTATCACCTTTAAAGCTGTCCATGAATCACACAAGGGGGTGACAGCAGCTCTTTTGGTCAGTTTGGGGGAGCTTGATGTTGCTTTAGGAGTTCTCCTCCCTCCAGGTTTCCGTGCTGTGGGTTTGGCTGTGTGCAGGGCTGCAGGGTGGGGAGCCTGTGTGTGCCTCAGAGCTGCTTTGTAATTTGTGCCACGATAAAAATCAGTGCCTGAGTCATGGGCAGCTCGGGAAGAGGAGCCCAGAGTTCACACAAAGCCTTCTCTCTCTGCTTTCACTTTGGGACTTACAGGGTAAAGCAAAGTGATCCTTGAACTTTTGAAATGTTGCGCTCACTTCATGATTTTTAAATTTTATTTTTGTGGTCTGAGCTTGCCCAGCTGCCTTAAACTTTGGATACAGCTACTGAAATAGCCATGGTGCTGTGTGCCTGTTCCCCCACCCAGCTGACTGCTTGAATCAGACTTTCTGAACCTTGATCTTACATGTTTTAGAAAAGCTCCAAGTGTGGGAACTGGCACTGTCAAAGGAAGATCATAGATCATTCACTTTTTAACAGGAGACTGAAATTCCAAAACCTAAATTGAGCTCTCTGAAAGGGTGAGAAATGCTGGAAAAATATGAGGAAGAGTTTCCATAACAAGTGAACAACAAGGTTTTAAAGTCCAGCACAGGCAGCTGTGGTAGAAATGCACTTTGCAGATAACAGAAAGACTTGGACCAGAGACCAAAGTGTAAATCTAGGAATGAAGAAATCCCCAGTCTGAGTGCTGAATTCATCAAAAACTGACTACTAAGAATTCCTCTTCATCTGCACCCATTGATGATATTCATATAACAATAAAAAAAATCAGTCTCATTAATTCCTCTTAAATTCTGGGGAGAGGTGGGCTGGAGAATTTCAGGATGCAGCTGTCTGTGCCCCCCGGGCTGGAAAGGCACTGCTGTGCCCAGCTCTCTGTTTCTGCCCCCTGCACAGTAAATTTGGGCAAAGCCAGGCAGAGTGAGCTCACCAGTGTGCACTGATCCAGCAGGATGCAGAGATGCATGGCACAAACACAGGAAGTTGCTTAGGTTTTAGTTTTCAGACATAATTGATTGCTTTGGAGTTATTTAGTGGAGCAGCTGGTTTGTTTCTGGAAGCAGTCATGGGAGGAATGGAGAACCCACAGCTGGCATGGGATACCCCACAGTTACTGCTTTGAGAGAGCTGGTTTAGAACCCATTGTGGGAAGGGAATGAAGGAAGCACGAAGTGAAACAGAATGAGGGAAACTGGCAGGAGGAATTGCTGGTTCACCTTTGAGGTTGCTTATGGATCCTTGTCACGTGGCAAAGGGAAAGCTTCAGTTCTTTGGGGTACATATTCTAGTTTAATATTGGGTGTGTTTCCTAGCATGGAAATCCACATCCATGTCTTTATTGCAAACCTTGTCCTGTTCCATGCAGGGTGCTCTCTCCACTGCAGCTCAGCTGTGCCCATTCCCATTCTCATATCCTAATCACAAAATTATTGGCAGCCACCATTGTGGGAAGGGAATGAAGGAAGCATGAAGTGAAACAGAATGAGGGAAACTGGCAGGAGGAATTGCTGGTTCACCTTTGAGGTTGCTTATGGATCCTTGTCATGTGGGAAAGCTGAAGTTCTTTGGGGTACATGTTCTGGTTTAATATTGGGAATGTTTAATGTTTTCTAGCATGGAAATCCACATCCATGTAACTTTATTGCAAACCTCATCCTGTTCCATGCAAGCTGCTCTCCCCACTGCAGCTCAGCCCATTTCCACATCCTCATCACAAAACTCTCCTTATTTTTCTAGGATTACCTTCCCTCGCAGCAAGACATCCTGCTGGCACGAAGGCCCACCAAGGGGATTCACGAGTACGACTTTGAAATCAAAAATGTCCCTTTCAAGATGGTCGACGTGGGCGGCCAGAGGTCGGAGCGGAAGCGATGGTTCGAGTGCTTTGACAGTGTCACATCCATTTTGTTCCTGGTGTCCTCCAGTGAGTTTGACCAAGTGCTGATGGAGGACAGACAGACGAATCGCCTGACGGAGTCCCTGAACATTTTTGAAACGATAGTCAACAACCGGGTGTTCAGCAACGTCTCCATCATCCTCTTCTTGAACAAAACGGACTTGCTCGAGGAAAAAGTACAGAAAGTCAGCATCAAAGACTATTTCCCAGAGTTTGAAGGGGATCCCCACTGCTTAACAGATGTGCAGAAATTCCTGGTGGATTGTTTTCGCACGAAACGCCGGGACCAGCAGCAGAAGCCGCTGTACCACCACTTCACCACTGCCATTAACACAGAGAACATCCGGCTAGTGTTCCGTGACGTTAAAGACACCATCCTGCACGACAACCTCAAGCAGCTGATGCTACAGTGATGTGCAAAAAGACTGCTTTGTTTCAGTAACTCTTGTGTGTTGTTTTTTTTTAACTAGAAGTTTACAGCAGGAGTAGAGAAATCCAGATCCTGTCAGACTTCTTGGTATGTGGCTGAAAGCTGCTGCTGAACACATTATTGCCAATTTCTGCAGAAATTCAGGCTTAATCTCTTCCAGTGTAGCTTCAAGTTGACTCAAGTTGTAATTTTATAGCAGACCTATGTCTAAGTTACCTGTAAAGTGGTAAATTTGACCTTTTACCAACATGTGTATTATCCTAGAAAATCCAGAATTCCAAGTCGAAACGTCAATGAAATTGTTGCAATTATTAGACTGTGGCAGTAATTTAAGGTGGGGGGGAAGAGAGAGAGAAACTTCTCACATCTGATTTCATTGTGAAGACTGTGATACCATAGCTGACTTATGATTTCTCAGGTCTGTTTTTGGTTAGAAATCCCATCAGATCCCTTGCTGGAATCATCTCTTTGCAGCCCATTCCTGGGTGTAACCTACTTCCTGCTTGAGTATAAACCATGGCATTGGGATGGAATAGGAGATGCTTCAAAAATATGGAAAATCAGGAGTTTCAGACATATCAGGAAGTGCTGAGTGCAGTGAGGAGGGATTCCTGGTTGGCACAGTGCACAGATTCACTCCAGAGGTGTCCTGGAGCCATGGCAAAGCACAGAGCACTCTGATCAATCCTCCTGGCGTGCTGGTGTGGGAAGGGGGAGCAAACCCAGCTTTTGGTTTTTACCTTCCCTGAGCAGATGTTCCCTGTGGGCACCTGTTCTGGAAGCTCTTTACTTAGCACTGCTTTATTTGAACTCCCTGCCTCCTGTGAGTCAGGAGCATTTGCTGGTGGGGAGAAGGACCTGCAGACCTAAGTGCCTCCTTGTGTTCTGTCCTCCTCTGGCATTTTCAGTGGCCTTACCAATTCCCAGCAGAGGCCTTGTGTAGCTGACACCGTGCAGATGAATGTTTAATTCTGAAAAAATTCAAAACCTTGTCCCAGCAGAATGTGCTTGAGCTCAGAGGTTCTTTCTGAGACTTTCCAGTTGGGTCTAAGCAATCCTAAGTGTACTTGAGCCAAATAATGTTGCACAGCATCTTCCAGAGTGCTGCTTGTGACTGTTTTACCCAAAGTCCTTTTGCAGTTTTGTTTCATTTCTCATGAGGAGTTGTTAGCATTGCCATGTGATTAAAAGAAGAAATTATAATAATAATAATAATGATGATGAAAAATAGTGAAAATGAAGCAATCCTGATGTACCCCACAGCACACTGCAAAAAGAGAGTGAGATTGTGATAGATAAATCAGTGTCCCTACCACGTTTCCCCCAGGCTGGAGTGGTGTGGGCCCCTGGAATTGGCCAATTCCTGTGGATCATGCTGGTGGCCAATCCTTCAATGTTTCTTTACTGTCATCCCACGAGCCAGGGGTGACTTGGTGGTGTCACTGCTGGGAGCAGTGGCCCTGCCAGCACATAGGAAAGCTGCCTGACTCCAGAGCTTAGCCTGTGCTTACTGTGAGTGTAAGGTGAATTAACATCTCTGTACCTCGTTCTCCTGGCAGCAGAAGGGGAATTGTGTATTTTTGTTTAGTCGGGTGCTTTGAAAGACCTCTATTTTTTTATATCATCCAGTGAATAGTCATAGGTTAGTCTGTGATTCTGGCCATCAGGCACTGTTTGGGGAGGAAAGAATTTCTGAAAAGAGCTTGGGAGAAGTCACAGTGCAGAATCTAAACATAATCCTAAAGTCAGGATGCAGCACTGATGTCAGGAGGGTTAAAAGAATCTTGGATGGGGATATTTAGTGGAGATTTTGCCTCTACTGGACATGGATTATTTCTGATTTGGTTATATGTGAGCAATTCAGGAAGGAGGATGAAGCAGAGACCTCAGGAAAGGCTCTTTCAAGGACTGAGCAACACACCTGTGATGGGAGCAGAAATTCTCCTTTGGGCTGTAAATGCTCCAAGAGCAGACACAAACCTCTGGTGGCCTCCAGGTCCAGTCTTGGAAAGCAGAAAACAAATTCCTGCCCTTGGATGTCAGCAGGGGGAGGAGCTGGGTTGGTTTTTCCTTTGCTGACAGGTGTCTTTTCAAAACAGAGACCTCAATGTCACTAAAGCAGTTGGTTTGGAGAGGTCTGCAGTTGGGGCTCTGGAGGGTGTCAGACCAGATGATTGCAGAAAAGACTGAAGGCTGGTAGTGGATGACAGGGTGAGTACCAGGGATTGGTCTGAACTAATTTATGTGAAGTATTGATGAATTTTTTGTCAATGGAAGCTGTTAATTTACTGAAGATCCTCAAAGCTGATGTCAGTGTGAGGAGGCAGCCAGGGTCACCAAGGCTGACCTTGGCTGAAGTGGGGGAAATTCCCCAAAACCCCACAAAAATCCCTGTTGTGAACCCCTGTTCAGATCCCTGTCCCTGTGAGCCCCAGGGCTGTAGGAGAGCAGGGGCACCCAGTGCTGGGTCACTTGTGGAGAAAGCACTCTGTGAATAATCTCAGGCAGAAATGAATTGTTTAATGAAATTACTGAGTCCAGTCACTCGGGTTTCCCACTCCCAGTGCTGAGAGGGGTGAGGGAATGCACCTGCATGTTTGTTTACATGGTTCCTGTGTTACCCTACAGCCAAACCCCAAATCTGCACCCTTGTCCATCCTCAGGCTCGCTCTTCATGGCCTCCCTGGGTGGAGCACACCTTGGGCTGTTGTATTTCCTGTTGGATTTATTCCTGCATCTCATTTGTGTATTGCAGGACATAAATCTGGTACAAAAGCTGAAGGGTGGATGCTCTGAGCAGGCTGAGTTTTGTCCTGAAACAACCAGAATTGCAGTTTGCTGGTGGGAGTGAAGCTTCCTCATGGAACCCAGTCTGTGGTACAAGGTTGGGGTGTATGCCTAGTGAAGGTGGGAAAACAGATAGAAAGTGAAATGTCCCAGAAAATCAAGATTCCCAAAATTCTTGAGTTCTCTTTGCTGGAGTGAGCTGTGTTGTAAAGATCACTGACCCTATGGAGATAAACCACTGTCCTGTACAAGCTGTACTTGAAGGTGAAATTGGTGTTTGAGCAACTGTTCCCTGCTGCAGAGTGTTCAGCTGAGATCATTGATACCTAAAAACTGTGGCTGTTCATCAGGGCTTTAACAATGTTACTCTTTTTTTATATATATTGTATGTGGGAGCATAAGCCATCAGTTTGTGTGAAACTTCAGCTTTCTCTAGAATAACTGCTCTTAAAAAAAAAAAATCAAATTGATCTCAAAGGTGTTTATGGGGCTTGTTTGTGAGTAGCTTTAAATTCAGAAATCCAGCAGTGATGGGGTGGGTGGGGGTTCCTGGTGGATCTGAGCAGTCTCTCATGCCCCAGAACATCCCTGGCTGTTCTTCTTGCAGAATATTCATTTCCATTTTCCACTCCTGTTCCGCATCCTGGGGGTTCCTGGTGGATCTGAGCTGTCCCCCATGCCCCAGAACATCCCTCACTGTTCTTGCAGAATATTCATTTCCATTTTCCAGCCCCACTCCTGTTCCACATCCTGGTGGATCTGAGCAGTCTCTCATGCCCCAGAACATCCCTGGCTGTTCTTGCAGAAAGTTCATTTTCCACATCCTGGGGGTTCCTGGTGGATCTGAGCTGTCCCCCATGCCCCAGAGCATCCCTGGTTGTTCTTGCAGAATATTCATTTCCATTTTCCAGCCCCACTCCTGTTCCACGTCCTGGGGAAGTCTCCTGCAAATGGTTCACCAGTTCACTTTACAGGTCTTGTCTCTCTGATGGTACCATAATGTAGTTTTTAATTACACAGCATTGCAATACAGTGCCATTTTGCAATTTCTTTGCGTTGTACTTGAAGATAAGTTGAATTGCAGACTATTTAAAACTGCTTTCCTGCGCTTTCAGTAGCAGTGAGAGCTTACCTTATGTGAAGCCTTTATGTAAAAATATATTTTATAACAACCTCATAGATCTTTAACAAGACAAAATTTGTATTAGCTTTGTATAAATGTTTGTGGCTTACAATTTTATATGTTTAACTTTTTATAAACTTTCCAGGGACTACTTTTTATTGTAAATTTTTTTTTTCCTCTCCTCGCTTTAGTTTAAGATTGGCAATAAATTATTTCTAAGGGAGATCTTAGAAGAAGAAGCATCACTTCTTTTTTATAAAATGGTTAAATCAATTCATAGTTTCAAACCTCTTACACTTGCTTGTACATTGCTGTGTACATACTCTCCAAAAGTGTTGCCTTTCAGCTATTAATATTTGCCTTGTGTACAAAAGTACTGACGATGAATAAACATATACAGCCTCATGTTGGTGTGATGAAATCATTTTTTCTGTTTTTTAACCAGCAAGCTGATTCTTTTTGTTGGTTGGCAGAGCTTGGCTGATTTGCTCCTGCAAACACATCTTGTGTTTCAAATCAAATATGGAACAAAGTCAAACAAAGTGTGCTCACAAGGCTCCTCCAGGTTCTGCTCAGCCTTGTCCCCAGCAGGGAGGCACCAGGAATTGCTGACTTGCACTTGACAGCCAGTTCTGGGCTCAATATTTAAAATATTGATGGCACTTGGGTGTGTTCTGCGACAAAGCTCCATGAATTATGGATCTTGATGTAGCAGAGTTGATTTATTTATTTATTTTTAGCTCTTTTTGACTAAGCCAGCCTCTGCCTCCTGGAGAAGAGGCTCACTGGTGTCAGTATGAAGGAGGATTTGCAGCAAAACATTGATTTCTCATCAGTTTTTATAGGCCTGAAATACTTCATTTTGCACAAGATTCCTTGAGTTTGGCTGGCTGGGGGCACTCAATCCCCAAAATGCTGAGCCCAGCTTTAAGGTCCCTTCTGACCCAAACTATTCCATGTGATAATTCTATTAAATAATTAATAACCTATAAATAACTAATAATTTCTTAGGAATGGCTCAATGTTGGTCCATCCTGGGCTCTGATCACCTCCCCACACTGATGTGCTCTGCCCTGAAACGCTGGGAAGAGCAGAAGTGGAAAGAAAAGCACATTCCAGGATTTATTTCCAGGAGGAAATGGAGTTTCTTCACATTTGCAACACTTTGGATTTACCAGAACACCTCGTTGCAGTGCTGAATGCAGGGCTGGGTGCTCGAGCCTCTTCCTTCCTGTTGGAGTAACTCAGTGATTGCACAGTAACTGCCAGGAGGGGTTCAGAATGCAGGAGCTGACCTTGGTCCCTTCCCTGGGGAGCAGAGGTGACCATGGAGGGCAAAGTGCTGAGGAGCTGCTGCCAGGAGAGAGATCCCGTGGGGAATCCAGCTGGAAACGGGGCAGGGATCTGCTCTGGCACAGCCCCTGCTGGCTTTGCCCTCCAAAACAGGACAGGTGATGGCAGGAGCTGCTTCTGGCCTGTCCACTTGCCTTGACACCAGCTGAGCTGTTCTCAGTGTGTGTGAAATGGGAATTACTTGATTCAATTGATAAGAAGGATTTTATGACTCTCTACAGCTCCCAAAAAGTGCCTGTGCTCAGCTGGGGCTGGGCTCTGTCTGCAGCAGCACTGACACAGCCAGAGCACACAGCCTCGAGCTGCACCCAGGGAAATACAGGCTGGACAGCAGGGAAAAGTGTTTGACAGAAAGGGGGATAAAGTTCTGGAATGTTCTGCCCGGGGAGGTGGTGGAGTCCCCATCCCTGGGTGTGTTTGACAAAGCCTGGATGTGGCACTGGGGGCCAGGGCTTGGGTGAGGGGCTGGGGCTGGGCTGGGCTCGATGGGCTTGGAGGGCTCTGACAGCCTGGGGATTCTGGGAATTCTCTGATTGTGTGAATTCTGTGGAAATCCCACAAAATCCCATTAAATCCCATCCTCACCCCAAGGAAGGGCAGATCCAGGGGCTGCTTAATCTGCCTGCCAATCCTGGGAGATGCTGTGTGAGATCTCAGCTGGGATCTGATAAAAAGGCAGAAGTTTTGGGGTGGGTTTGCTTGTGTTTTGTCCAGGACTGTTTTGTCCAGGTACCACTGGGAAAATGCCATAAAATCCCACAAAATCTCACAAAATAATCCCACCTTCAGCCCAACAAAGGGCACATCCAGGGCTGCCTGCTAATCCTTAATCTGTCTGTCAATCTTTGGAGATGCTGTGTCAGATCTCAGCTGGGATCTGAGGGGAAGGCAGAAGTTTCCCAGTGGGTTTGCCGGTGTTTTGTCCAGGACTGTTCTGTCCGGGTACCACTGGGAAAATGCTCAGAGCAGCTCCTGCCATTCCCAAGCTGCTCCATGGCAGATCAGTGCTCAGCCTGGCTCAGCAAACAGGTGAAGAGTCCAAACATCCCCAGTGAGAGGTGAGGGGAGAGCAGTCCCTGCCCTGAGCTGCTGCCTCTGCCCAGCTCTGGCTTTGATGAATTCTGAGCACTGGATCTGACAAACCTGGGCCTGGGGCTCTGCAGCTCCACACAGTGAATATTTGAGGCTGAGCACTCCCAAGCTGTGAGCAGCAGGTTGTGTTTGCTGCTCCTGGGGCAAGGAGGGCTCCCAGGAAATGCAGAGATGTTTGTCAGCAGATCCAGCACCTGGATAAATCCCATTTCCCTGCCTGGATGGCTGGAAATGTGGTGACCCACTAAGATGATGCTGATGAGTGCAGACTGGTTTTTATTAATTCAGGACTTGCCGAGCAGGAGGAAGCACGAGATCCTGTGCATCCAGCAGTTCCCAAAGTGAGTTTTTCCCACTCCCAGCGTTCAGTAGTGGATCTTACCTGTATAAAAGATGCTGATGCCCTTCCCAGCATCCTGCCCATTGCCAGGAGCACCTTAGAGCCCAAACCTGCTGATGCCCAAACCTCTGTCCTGCCCAGCACCAGCTTTGGTGGCTCTGGGCCAGGCTGCAGGTGCTGTCCTGTCCTCTCTGCTGTCACCTGCAGCCTGGAACACAACCAGCTTCTGTGACATAGCAAAAAGCCACCTCTGTCAGATCCAGAGTGGGGAAAAAAGGAGAAGGACATTTAATTTAACATCCCCATTGCCCCAGGCAGCCTGTGTGCTGAGTGGCTGCTTCCAAGCTCCGTGAAATTCATATTCCAGCTCATATCCCAGCCAGGGGAGTTTGGGGGTGACAGCAGCTGTGAGTAACTCACCTGCAGGAGTGACCCCTCAAACTGTCCCTGCAGTGCCACCACCACCCACAGGAGCTTCAGCTTTTCTGTGCACCTCCAGTCTGTCCCTGGTTGTTGTTTTCAGCTTTTTTTTGCAAGAAAAGCCAGCATCTATCAGTGATACAGATCTTCCTCGGGTTGCCTAGGCAGAATATTTTGCATTTTTGCTGGATGAGCTGATTCTCTTTCATTGATCCGGAATCCAGGGGTGGGAGCAGCTGGGAATTGATGGCTGGTTCCTGCTGCAGCCTCCAATTTCCCTGAAGAAAAGGGAAGCAAACGAACGAACTTCAGTGAAATCAGCATTTCCAGAGTGTCGCCAACACCAGGATTTGCGGGGTACAAGTTGAGCAAGGCTTCAGCAGCACCAGCCTTCTTACATCATGTCTGGCATTTGCTGAAAAATTGTCTAAAATTAAGGGCAAAACTTCCTCTTTTGTTCTTGCAGATGACCCACACAGACTCTCCTTGCCTCTCTTTCCCATGCCCACTTACAAAACTTGAGGAGAAAAGGGGATATTTCTTTTTATAAAATTTTATTTTTCTTGTTGTTAAAGTTGTTATTAAGTTGTTATTAAGGTTTATTTTTCTTGTTGTTCTTATTTAATACATCTTCTCCCCCAGCAGGAATCCCTTCTGCTGCTCCTCTCACTTCTGCAATACTCAAGGTGAAATATTATTAAATTTAAACCTTTGCATTTAAACCAAAACTTTAACCTTTCCATTTAAAACTAAACTTTAACCTTTCCATTTAAAACTAAACTTAAACCTTTGCATTTAAACATAAATGCAAACCTTTGCATTTAAACCAAAACTTTAACCTTTCCATTTAAAACTAAACTTAAACCTTTGCATTTAAACCTAAATGCACACCTTTGCATTTAAACCGAAATGCAAACCTTTGCATTTAAACCTAAATGCACACCTTTGCATTTAAACCAAAATTTAAACCTAAATTTAAACTTTTACATTTAAACCTAAACTTTGCTGTTTGTTTGCATTGAAATAACTCCTCCTCCTCTGAACAGCTCCTGGCAGTGCTCTGGGACACAACCCCAGATATTCACAGTTCCTGTAGAGCAAAAGAACAACCAAAACATCTGAAACGAAACCAAAAACTGAACTTCATTTCCCATTTCCATGGCTCTTTGGATCTCACATTTCTTTAGCTCAAGCTGATTTTTTCCTCCATCTTTTGCTCAGATGGGATTCCTGTTGATGGGACGTGAATGTCACCCCATCCTTTTGTGCCAGGCAGTTTGGGAAGAGCTGCTCATGCAATGTTTGTGGGAAATAATTCAGAAATTGTGGGAGAAACAGATCTTGGCTTGACTGACATGGCAAAATCATTGTCTGCAGCCAGCTCAGGTTGCTCAGTGCCATGATCTGAGCACAGGATGGATCCCAGGAACATCAGAGCCCTGAATACAGCAGCTGTGTTTTCCCCTGGTTTATATCTCTGAAATGCTGGAGAAAATGAAATTATCAGGGGGAAAAATAGAACATTTATACTTGGCTATAGGAACCATGGGCTGAACTCCTCCTCTGCCTCCCAGCAAACCTCACCAGTGCTTGTAAAAGCTCCCAAACACAAAAAGCATCACACAAGTGTAAATATTGGAGTTTTACTTGCTTGGATTCAATAAAAACCCCAAAGAGCTGTGGGGTGTGTGGAGGAAATGCTGCTCCTGAGACACCCGTACAAACCAGCAAAGCCAGAACGCCTCTGGTCAGAAGGAAAAGAGGAAAAATGTTTCTGGAAAATGTTTCTGGAAAATGTTTCTGGAAAAATGCATGTGGGCAGGAAAATCCCTGAGGGGTTTCAGCTCGGGGTTCAGAGTGTGGTCATGGTGCATTGTCACTCACAATGTTGGGGGTTTTTTTGCAAATTCTACCCAAAATCTCCTCCAGAAAGGGTGGTGCTCTCATTACCAAGACCTCAAAGTTCTCCATCCCTGTCTGCTGCTTCCTGCAGGTCTCTTAAAGCTTTTAACTGAGCTGGATTAATAAAATATGCTCCATCTCTCTCGTGCCCACATTGTAAATTAATCATGGCAATCCTGCTGTCAGTTCACGCTGGAATGAACCAGTGCAGCACAGCCAGTCCGTGTGTCCCCAGCCCGTGTGTCGCTGTCCTGTGTGTCCCCATCCCTTATGTCCCACATGTCCCCACCCTGTCTGT